AACAGCCGTGACAACCAACGGCACGACGTTGGCGTAACAGTGATGACAGAACTGACGGGCCCGACGACTGACAAGGGAGCCCCGAGACGCGCGCGGCTTCTCTCCTCTCATCAGCCGCGGCCAGCCGTTCCCCGCCCGCTCCCTGGCGTATGCGTGAGCGTATTCAGGGGCTGTCCCAGCGTGAGTGTATGCAGGGGCTGGCCCAGAGAAGGGCGTGCGCGGGCGGGCCCGAGCCGCGCGGGCTGACGGGGGCGGCGCGGACCGCCGCAGCACGGCCGGCCACCACTCACAGCGCCGGCCGTCGAGCCGTGTAGGGGCGGTACCGGACGGGGGACCGAGGTAATTCACCGCGCCGCTGCCGCTCCGTAAATAGCCGCGCCTGTATTCGTGTGCGCGGCCGGCGCGGTCCCGCCCCGGCCCTGCACCCGTAATCACGCCTGCTTTATTGTGGCCCCGCGCCCGGGCCCTTTGAGACGGACCCGGGCGCTGATGGGTGTTATTGGATAACTGATTTATGATTAATTGGCCGGCCGGGTACAGTGAAGGGGTGGGCCCGCCGGCCGGAGCAGCTCGCTGGGCCTGCCTGCGATTGGCGGCGCCAGCTCCGCCCCGCGGCTCGGCTCGGCCCCCGAGATGGCCCGGTCGTGACGGCCCGGAGAGCTCCCCGCCGCTGCCGCCGCCGCCGCCGCCGCCGCACTCCCCGCCCATGGCCGGCCGTGGAGCGCAGCACTGACGGCGCCGCGTCAGCACCGGGTGTCGCCGCCGGCCGTACACTGCACACCGGATGCTAATGGCTTTAAACAGCCGGCGAGGGTCACTGAGTTCGTCACTGAATGATATGTTTGCGATAGAAATTCTATCTTTTTTAAGGGAGAATGAGCCGAAACGCATGCTTGACTGCGTTATACGAAAGGCATTTGGTGACTGAAGGTGTGGAATGTTAAGTTTGAAGTAAGTGGTCTCTGTATTGACTGGAATTACGGGCTTAAATTAGCTCTTGTCACCGACAGACAACATAGTTCCGTCCGTTGCATCGTCACACGCTGGGCGGAAAAGGATTTCACTAGCGCTTCAAACGTCATGGACGTGAGCGCTCCCACACACACACTTCACCCCGAGATGAGCTAGAACCACACAAACAACGGATAGCTGGGAAACACAAGGTGTCCGAGATACAGATACCACAATTTCAACAAATCGATTGCAGGGCGATGCCTTTCAGCAACAACACGGTGGTTTTAAGTGCATACACACACACACACACACCACACCACACAACACACACCACACACACACACACACACCACACACACACACACACACACACCACACACACACACACACACACCACACACCACACCCACACACACACACACACCCACACACACACATATATATATATATATATTATATATATATATATATATATATATATATATATATATATATATACCCCACATATCATGCATCTTATATACGCATATGTATGCACACTATCATGACAGTACATATTCTATATACATGCTTGATTGAACACGAGCTGATTCCTGATTACAAGCTTTTGTTGCATTGCTCTACGTTCTAGACGTTTGTCTCCGCAGCATTTTCCGCTATTTACCTGTTACCTAAGATTGCTCATGCAAAATTCCTGCATTCTTCAATGTCGGATGCGTAGCGTTGCAGATTACATCTCATCGTCGCAGGAAAAAACCAAAGTGATAAATTTCGAGTTTTGCGCATCTCTGGTTATTGCGTTTTCTGGTACGAAGACGAAGAAAGCAAACAATCCTACGCCGCACACCCCCAGTCAGTGAAGGCCTTGGAGGGCTGTCTTCCACCCCATCTGTGGCGGGGCGGGTGTGTTCGAGTCGCTTCAGTCGAGTCGCTTGCTATTCGTCCCTGATAAAGGATACCCTGCAGCTGGAGGCCACTACCACCCGAGGCCAGGTGGCGTCAGAGTGTGGGGCAGACTGTACAGAACATTACGGCAACTTAAATTATCTCCCCCAAATGATGTCGTTGAATTGGAATTTCACGATTGGAAAGCAGGCTCAGTGCTCAATCAGTGCTTTAAGGCGCCTGATCCCAGAAATCCATAGAATCGAAAGGTTCCGACCAAATTACAGGTACATAATCATGTGGGAGCAGCTGTTAATTAAATGTGTGTGCAATAGCTAAGCACTTGAAGAATAGTCTTGCGCTGTTTTTCTCATCGCTGATCGATTTTGTACACATCCAACCGACAGCTTTGCATCCACATGGCTATTTGCTCCTCTCAGGACGATCTACTTTCTCCAGATGCTTTAACGGTATGCAAGTTGCGGTGGTTGTTGCAGTTCAATATTTGAGGACAGTAGTTATGCATCTCGTAGTCGCATAACTGCCGTCTTACAAACGTGCGACTTTTCACTCGCGCTTGTTATATTTCTCAGGCATGAGATACGATCCAGAAAAGTTGCACCATAACATACTGGCAAACATGTGACTTGGTGCGAAACGTCGCTGTCACAATGATTCTGTGAAGACAGGGGGCCCATAATCTACCACAACGCAGCTCGTTAACGCACCATCAACGGTCGTTTTCAATTAAATATGCATGCTGTGTGTATTTACAGCCGGCTATTCGAAATAGACTGATGCACACGAATATTTCTTTCATTTATGTCCTTTCAAAGAGTTCCCGCTAACAATCCGAACTCATATTGAGAAAGATCACAAAAGAAGTCCTGGAGCCCGTCCGCTATTCAATCGTAACCCACCAGACTATATCGCGCCCAAACCAATTCGTTCGCCATAGCTTTATTTGTGGACCAATGATCGTCGAGCCACCAAAAGCCGAACATTCACGTCCATGCGCACCATTAATAATGACTTATTTCATGCCTTCTGGTGTTCAAAGCCTTTACGGCTCAACGTGATGCACCAGCAGCCGGTGAAGACACAATTACACAATCACAGATACAAACAAATATCGCCATGTACACTTACTTCGTACGCTTGTTCACACGAGACCCCCGCCATCTACATATAGGCCTTATGCCTGCTTACACTATATCACCAGATGAAAAACACCATGCACCCATACAAAATACCCGCACCCGTCTACCTTTATGGTTTTTTTTTTTTGGTAGCACGTCATTTACTGACACTATATCACTCAAATCCACGCATAAACAGAATCCTTGGGCAAGATCAAACGCCTAACGGACGCTTTACAAAACTTCTGGAGCATCGCACTATGAGAGTTATGCCGTATCTCCTCCAGCGCATATTGCACAGAATTCCACAGCGATGTGGTCATACTACACGCCGCGCTCTCGCGTGAGTGGCCGCACGGTGGCCTGCCATAAATCACGAGGCATTCCTCACGAAGCCGTAACATTACGACCGCTAAAAGTCACCGAGATGAGTGACAGACACGCACTGGCCGGTCGCAAGACGCATCAGCTGAGCAATCAGCTGACGCGATTATCAACTGGATCGGCGAGATCGTCCTATTTCTTATCACTGGTAGCCGGGTAGTGCTTGCCGTATTCTTTCATGTGATCGCGCATGGACTTCATCTGGGTCCTGCGAAAGAGATCTCATTATGCGTCGGATCTACACCAAGGAGAGGCACAAACAAGGCAGCTGCACGCCGGTTAAGTTCCTTGGCGGGATGCACGACAG